TCATGTCTATTTATTACGAATGTAGCAATTTAAGTGTTCGTACATGAATATTTATGAACTCTGCTGATAACAATAGATGGAAACAGTTCGAGTTGGTAGAGCTGGTATTGATAAAGGAGTTCTATTTTGACTATTTTCTGAACACGCTTGACCTGTCTGAACTTGACTAGTCCCTGGCATTGCGTTTAACTCTACACTCGGTGGATTAATGTTGTAAAGTTCAGCGACTCGTGCTCCACTTACATCATTGTTACCTACATTAGTGGGCTGTGTAGTTTGATTATTTCGGGAAGCATTTTTCGAAAGATCTCCTACAACTTTCATTAAATCTCCTATTGATTTTCTAACTTCCTGCATCTCACCCTAAACCATACTTCTAATCTGCTCATGTATAGTTTTCTGAACAGATAATGCTTCATCAGCCACTAAATCTCTGACTTCTGGTGTTATTTCTTCACTGATAGCACTACTATTGGCAGAATTCATGGGTAATCCTGTTTCCGTTTGTTAATTTCTAGATGTACTGGACCTATTTGATATTATTGTGTTATATAAATCTCTAACCTGACCTTCGTTGGATTTACTATTATTTTCATTCATATTGACTATGGGTGTTCTAATTCTACGCTGTTTCGGAGACAAAGGATTATAAGTTCTGCTCGTATCAAACTCAACTTTTCTTTTTCTATTTCTAAATTGCGCTCTAGTTTCCCTTTTCATCACCTAAATGAACCAAAATATATATTCAATAGCGATCATTTTGAACTAAATAAGAAACAAAATAATAACATTTCGTTTTGTAAATAGATGTTTAAAAAAGTATCAATATCAATACAAATAACTAAAATAAGAATAAATATCTTCGTAAAAGAAATAATAAATATCTAAATAAATAGTAAAATAAATAAATGAATAAATAAATAATGTAAATAATTGAAATTTCAGGATATAACACAAAAAAATTAAACTAATACAAAACTATAGTTACTCCTTATTTCGATATTAATTTTCTAAGGGATTGTTGATCAGCGGCGGTATGACGGTTTATTAAATTTTTCTTGATTCTCTCCTAGATAGCTATTGTGATCTTACCGTAAATCATACTAAAACAAAAGTAAATATACTAAACATCCTTATGTGTTTTACACTTCTAACGATAATCATTAGAGGGAAGTATGGGATGAATGTCGACCGCTTGTCTCAAGCGGCTGTCGCTTTCCATCCATGCTGTTTTGCACTTACAGATTCAGACTGAAACTACAAATATAACAACAACAAAAACAAGACTAGGTGTACATTTAGACTGATTCAAGTGTCAATTCTAAGGACTTTCCTCTTCTTGAAGGTATTGGTCTATTATTTTTTGGTCACAAGCAATCACAAAAGAAAGAGTAGTTCACACAACGGACTTCTTGATTTACTTTCCCAAAAACGGATATGACTTTACCCTTTACCCTGAAGGAGCTCCCTAATGACGTTTAAGCACAATCGTAACTAATTTATTGTATCGCGCCTAATTTGAGCACTTAAGGTAACTAATTTTATATAATTCCTTTTGTTTATAGATTTCCCTTTTTTAAGATATGTTTGAATTTAAGTATTATATTTTCTAATTTACTTTTTTAGATTTTGTTGTTGGCCTTAATCACTTACACCTAAACATAACAACACTACACTCTCGAAGGACAGAATATTTTGTTCACAATAACACAACTAATTTATCAATCTTATTTTTTTCTTATTGTTCTTTTTTATATTTTGTATATTTTTTTTTCTTTTACATCGCCTAATGGCTAGATTTGGCTTTCCTTTTTTCTTTCGCCAATAAATAATATTCTTGTATATTTTCTTTTATATTGCCTAAAGGCTTTGTTTTGCTTTTGCAAATAAATGTGGCTTTATTTCAAATTATTATCTATAGTCTCGGAGTAAAATTTTCTCTAGCCTCTTCTTATTAGGCGTAGTTTAAGATATGTGCAAGGATTACATATAAAATATATATGTATATAGGCAGTACTTACCTGGCTATTTCTCCTGTGATCTATTGCTTATCCGTCACCAGTTCAGAGAACAGCCAGCTATATGGAAAACAACATTTTTTAAATATTTTTCTTGTAAACATCTATAACAACTTATTTTACTTGGATTCTCTGTTAATACACAATAATTAGTTATTTATGCACTAGAATAATTTACTAGCACTTTACTTTTGGGTTTGATGGTTGTATTTTCTGTTTAATTAATTGTCTTTTGATAATATTTAAAATTCTCAGATTGTCTGTGACTATTTTAAATATTAAAATTTTCTTTTTGTAATTTTAAAATTTTCTTGAAATTAACTTTGCTTACACTTGCACTTTTCTACACCTTTTAAGCTTGTCTACCTAACCATTACTTCTTTTATACCACTGACAGCTTATTTACTGACAATATTTTGCCGGTATTATTTCCCGCCGATACTTATTTATTTCTATATAACCTTTCCCGCGAATTGGATTCTGAATATATTAAAAGAAAATAATATACATAAAATATACATTGCACGATGGTGGAATGTTTTGCCGTACTCTTTGCGTATTTTTTCGCATTCGAATAACGTGTTTCGTTTAAAACTCATTCAGCACTTTACTAATTCCATTTAGTATTTTAGGTGTTAGTATTTATCGTTATATGCATTTTGTATTGTACGCAAAATTAAACTTAAAGAATTTCTAAGTTTTGCTGTTGAATGGGACCTTTTTTGTATTTTTTATAATAATTTATTTTTTATTTTGTATGGCTGGGGAGCCGTTTTGATGAAAATAATTGTGCTTTTTAAAATAGTTTTATATTTTGCATATTAATCAAAAACGTTTTTATTTTTATATGATTTCAGGTATATTTTTTTACTGTGTAATATTGTTATTTTGGCCATTGTGGCTTATATTACTGAATTATGATAATAAATAAATAAATAAATAATTTATTTAAGCGCAACAAAAAAACTTTACTTTTTGCTGACTTTATTTGTTTAAACAAAATAAATTAACAAATTATGCGTTACTGCTCTATATCATCCTTTTACAATACCAGGCGTACATTAATTTCAGCAACATATAAAATTTCGTTCATAATTTTCTATTTTCAAATTTTGATTTTCAAAATGAAAACTGCAACCCTGCACATATTTTCTACTTAGTGCGTTGCCACTACTATGCTTATTAAACACAGCTGCCCTACGACTTGTACTCAAACAGCTGTTATTTATTTACACATGGCAGGGTAAATTCAATGAATGATGGTAAGTATTACTTTATTTTTTAATATTTCTCTTTCTTTCTTTATTTTTAGGAATCCAGGACAATAATTTGGAAATGGATAACTACAGACCACCTGGATGAATATGCATTGTTCCAAATAGTTCATTTATAGTTTATTAATATGTTTCCTCATGTGAAGGAGGCTTAAGAGAGTAATTTCTGGTACTTTTGCGTTTTATTTTATCTAATAAAATTCGTACTGACAGTTTTTACCAAATCAGATAGAACTCTTATTTGCTTTAATTCGAAATGAAATTTCACTTTTCCATAAAAACACTCAATTTAAACGGATGGTTGTATTTGTTTATCCTAGACACTACGCAGTGTTGCATATGCTATTCTTGTTCGAAAAACTCATTTTCGAAAGTTTTAACTCAAATCTAGGGTATAAGGTGCAATTACACAACTCGCGTTGTACGCGTCAGCGTGTTATAAGTTTCTGCCAAAAAAAGTAGAAATAGTATATTTTCATTTAACAGGTTACACACTGTAGTTTGTAACGCGTCTGCAGCGAAAAGTTCAATAACTTTCACATATTGGCGAGTCGGCAGCTGATCAGGGTTGTTTTGTGTAGAATAAGAATAAACTAAAATGAAATAAATTTCACCTGCAATGAAAGAAAAATATTAAAAAATAAACAAAAACTTAAAATTTTCATTTCTAAAACAGTAACACCATGTCTATATTAGACAAATATTTATCACGGCACTTGACAAAACACGGCAAAAAATTTTAAGGTTTTTGTTAATGTTAATGCATAAGGGTAATAATACATTCCGAAGAAATACAACTAGGACACAATTGGGCCTGTTGTGCGCTCCTTTTCATGAAACAAAAAATTGTTAACTGAGTATATTATTTTTCAGTGTTCAGAAACTCAGTTTCCTGGACGTAATTCCTAAAAATTTTCCAGTCAGTGTTATTTGAAAAAATCTCGCGATTCTTTCAAATATTTCTCCTGCTGCGCTTTTCAAAAGAAAACAACAAACAGCTCATAAAACTTTTAACTTATTTCACATTATATATTATAATCACATATACATTTCCCAATTGTTATATAATAATCGGGAAAGATATATGGGCACTTGTCAAGTTTCAAAACCTTTTTTTTAGCTTTTGGCACTAAATGGGTTAAGAATAATATATTTTGCATATCATCTGAGAGGCCTTTCCACCACCTCTCATATCATATTATGCAAATTATGGGCACTTTTACAAAAAAGTCATGTTTCAAAACCTTTTTTTTTAGCTTTTGGCACTCAATGGGCTAAGAATAATATATTTTGCAGATCATCTGAGAGGCCTTTCCACCACCTCTCATATCATGATTTTTTACTTTGATTTTTAACTTTATATATACATATATACAGTTTTTGAACGTCTAAACTCCATAACTATAAGAGAGCAAGCCAAAAAAATAGTATCGTTAGATTAAAATTAAATTTACTATTAATGAAAAAAAAATTACAAAATTAATGAAAAAAAATTACAAAATTTGGAGCCGTTTAGAGTCGTTAAGGAGTTCCAAATCTAGTACATAAGTAGCCAAAAACAAATAGATTTGCTCAAAACTCCTCATTGGAAACGTGATTTAACGATGATGGAGGCATTTATAAATATTAATTTTTGGATTGTTTATTACACATATAGAACCAATAATATGCAACTCTGTAATACATACTTGAAACATGTGGTACGAATGTTATGAATGATTGGCAGCACTGTATGACAACTCTAAATCGACGTTGTTAATTCGCAAATCATATATTAAACCGGAGAAGAGAAAATAATTAATTCGGATATAATAATAACATTTAAAATATTTATTGAAAATAATACTACAAAACAAAAAGACAGTGATTATTTTGATATAATACAAGAGGAACTGACGTGTAAAAAAAAAAAAATAAAAACTCAAGTGTAACCAAATTTTCTGTCGCGCTGCCATTTTACAAAAAAAGTATAGCAAAGCAAAAAATTAAACTCCCTGCATATATGATCAGGTAAAATTAAAAAAAATGTATATTAATATTTTATAGGCTTGGTAACCAATAAAATTTTCTTTGTTAAAAGACGAAATTCCATCATTCACTTTCTTCTACGAGATGTGACCACGACATCAAATTACAAAAGCTTTATTGTATAGCGGTACTTCCACAAAAAACAACCATAATGAAATGATACATTTCATGTGTCCATCCTTAAAAAATAATAGACGGTGCTAAACGTTATTTTTCCTTTTTTGAATATGCAAATTTTTATCAACAGGCTAGGTTTTTTTATTGTTAATTACCCTTAAAACACATTAAAAGAAAAAATACGTAAAAGCCAACAATAAGGAAAAAAGAAAACTTGTTCACGTGTTTATATGTGTATGTGTGTGTTTGCTTTGTGTAAAATGCATGCATGAGAAGAAATAGCGGAATCCACACTTTCTGTATTAAAAATATATTTCAGTTTTATAATGTTTAGCTTTAATTTCATAGTTTCTTCATGGCTTCACCTAACAAAATATAAACAAATAATTAAATGCAACGCTGCAACTTACACAATGTAGATACATATGAATATTATGTGTATATGTATGTTTGAATGTATATACATTTGTGTGTTGGTCTGTCTGCAATTAAATGTCAATTGTAATAATCTTTGCGAAATAAAGAAAAATGTATGTAAAAAATTAAAATTGAAACTATAACGAAAAATTGTGTCACACTCCTTAAGATTTTTTTAATATACTTATTTCGTAAAGTTTTTTTTTGGATTCATAAAATAAGTTGAAGTTTCCAAACTGACTACCTAATAATCTATAAAATTATTTTGTACACTAATTGGCCAATCTTAAACGTTTACAAAATATATCATTAGTAGTTATAGTTTAACTTATAAGCTAACAAAATGAATTAATGGTCGTAGTTTTTAAATAATCTGGGTCCTTATAAAATATGAAAACCATCCAGATCTGTTCGTCCGTTTCTCTATAAAAGTAACGATGTGACCTAGAAAAAGGACCTACTTCGTTATTATCATTCCCCAAAAGTGCTTTGCTGATTATAAATGATTTCTATTTTTCGTAAAAGAATTAAAGTTATTTTTGCATTTGTAGGCTTTGTATTACAAATAAATGAAGTAAATAATATAAATATAAAAACAAGTAATAACAATATTCGCCGGTCCGTAAATTAAAAACAAAGGTTTACACAATATAAAAAAAATCAACAGCACGCCTCTATTAAAAGTAGCTCTATTAAAAATCAATAAATTTGGATATACTTAAAACGTATTTCTAGTAAAGCCGGTGTTAAAATATGCAAAGAATGTCGATGTTTCCAAAGAAAATTATAAGTGTTCATTATTTACATTTCTAAATAAAAATATAAAATATCACTTTGTTTACTTTGTTTGGATAAATAAATAAATAAAATTCGATGCTACTCTGATTCTGTAGAATATTCCAACACATTATTTGTTTTTATTTATAATTTAGCTTTATTTTTATTTGTTGTTGCATTAAATTGCAATAAATTTTGTTGTAATACCTATCTGGTCAGAAATAAGTTTTTATGTTTTGTTTATAGCAGAGCTATAAACATATAGTTTGAACTAACAAATTACCTATCAGTTTATGTTTTCGATTTTTTTGCTGTTTAATTACTTTAGAATTTGTTATACATCTCATCTTTTGACTTTATTAACTATTATTCTATCATCCAACCAATACCGCACCTCGTTATCGACTTAGGTGGAAGGTTTCAATTTTGTTATCAAGCTAGCGCCAACGATTCTTTTTGATCGAAATGATTTTTTACTTTCTCGGCCAATCGGTGTAATGTGTGAGCTAAACAATTAACTCGATATTACTTTTAATCGACTTTATCTATTACAATATACCACTAATATCATGAAAAGTGCGGAAATTATTTCGTGGTTTAAATTTGGCTGATTTTATATCCTAATCCATAAAAGCAACCGATACATTATCGACATATCAGATGATAAACTAAGAACAAAATTACTCCCTATAATCCAATTAAAAGTAATATTATAAAGTAAATAAACGGTTTACTATTATACATTTTTAAGAAAACAAATGTATAATTGTTATGAAGTCGATATCATTGGACGGATATTGTTCACTTTTAACAATATACCCTTTCATATTTTGAAATTTTTATATTATGAAATAATAGTTGATTTATAAAAATTTAAAAATTTCTTCGAAATTAATAAAATTGGCCATTTAAAATTTTATTTAAAAATGATTAAAGGTGAAGTGAAGCAGAAATGTCTGATTTAATTAATGATCAATCAAAATAAAACATTTTCTTTATTTTGAAATTCAAATTCTATTAGTTTTAATTTCAAAGTAATATATATTATTGAGCCAAAAATCATTCCCCGTCAGCCGGTTCTACGTACCGGAATGACCCGAATTATTCGGCCAAGGGCTGTCAATCCCAGCAACAACAACAATTGAGCCAAAAATAAATTTAAAATATAAAAATTTTGAAAAAAAAAAATTCTATTGAAAAAAGGTATTTTGTTAATTTTTATATTTAAACAAAATCTTATCATTCCCAATATTAACAGGATTTGAACAAAAGATATAGCATTTTAATTGGAAGGAAATTAAAAAAATTAACTTCTGAATGAATTGTCAAAATTTTCTTAAAGATCAAATAAATTGGATTCAGTTCCTAGTAACTCCTTTTAATTCGTAAAAAGGAAGAGTCTTTCTATTGCCGTATCAAAAAATAAAATCAGATTGGAGAAAATTTGAGATAATGTTTATGTCCTGTTTTTTCGTGTATATAAAAAATTCTAAATGTGTAAGCTTGATCTTCTCAACTAGATCTACAAACCGCACTTGGCGACATGTTGAGTAAATTTTTGCAGAGTAATTATTAAGATGTTTTTATTATTATTGTTTAATGTGATTTTGAAGTTGATGTTTTTATTATTATTGTTTAATGTGATTTTGAAATTCGAAAAATTGCTATCCATTAATTTTATGTAAAATCTATTTAATGTTAAAATTTGAATTATCTTTAAATAATTGTTTAAAATTTATTATACGTAATGTATCAAAAAAATTTATGATTTTTGGTAAAATAAAAAAAAAAAATTTAATTATTTAAAATTCCTATAATTTAAAAATACTTACATATTTTTTTTTCAAGTCGTATTAATAGAGGAAGCTTTTGTATAGCCAACATATTTAATAATAACCAGCAAACTGTCTTCAAATAGGCAACAGTTACCCGATTCTGAAAAATTGACGCCGCAGGATCAACCATCACTTAGTGACCAGCATATACTATACACACCGGTCTTCTATATCTCTGGTATGTACCCAATTATTTCATTCAAATAACCAGGGACCAAAAATAATTGTTATTTTTTTTCTTTCGAAAGAAAAGGTTACGCAAAAAATCCCTTTAGGTCTCCGTAACCAATTAACATGAAAAGTATATTTTTTGGTTATGAATAACTGTTATTTAGCAACCAATATTTTTTTGGTAATAGATAACCAAAATTTATTTAATTTATCTTTTGGTCAATATAAATATTAACGAAATTAAAAGGCAAATTAATTTAAATTATATTTTATTTATAAAATGAATAGACATTTGTTGCAAAACTGGCTGGTTAATTTACTTTGCCAAAGATATTTAAAAAAAATATAACCAATAACAATTTTTTGGTTACGATAATTGTTATTCGTAACCAAAAAAATATATTTCTCTCTGGTATTTGTTACGACGACCAAAATCAAATAAACAAATAACACTTATTACACATATATATAATATTTGCAAATTTGACTTATATTAAATAACGATAAATATTTTTAATATTTTAGGGAACGGTGGTTATGTAGCAGCACCATCTGCGGGTTATACATTACCCCAACAGAGTGGGCTGCAACAGCCAACTGTAAGTGCAGCAGCTTCAGGCTCTGCTGTACCATCACAACCCCCACTTCAACTTCTACACGGCATTCAGCCAACAGTAACTTCTGGGCAACAAACAGATTTATATAAAATGCAGCCTCAATCGGCGCAAAACATTGTAAGTTGCTATCTCTTTAATTTATTATAAGCATATATTTCCCTTCATACTTTTTTATATGTCTTGTTAAAAAGACATACATTCAATGCACAAGATATCATTTATTTGTATGCTCTGTAAATCCGTTTGAATTGTAAACAAATACTAAGAAGGATATTATGGATCTTGTGGATTTATGTATGTTAACTTTCTGTTGTTAATATATTTTTATTTACTTATTATTATTGTTTTTGTTATGTAAATAACATTTTAATATTTTTTATTATTAAGACCTAACAACACCACCTACTCTAAAAACGTTTTAAATTAAGGGACTGACTTACTACAATATTTTCTTATGTTAAATTTGAAACGATTCTTCTTCAATGGAGCGCTTTAGGTCTTTATAAAATGTAACATAATATTTACAGTCCAATTAATACACTTCAGTATATTTTACTTGTATGTCAATTAATAATTTTCACCATTCTTTACAATTTAAATTTGAATCTTATGCACAATTTTATTGATTTCAGTGTATCTGTTGGTGTTAGGCGATATCATGGATTGCTATATTCTGTTATTTTTATACCCTCCACCACCATCAGTGGTGATAGAGGGTATATATAACTTTGTCATTCCGTGTGTAACACCAAGAAATATTCATCTGAGACCCAACAAAGTATATATATTCTGGGTCCTTATGTAATTCTGAGTCGATTTAGCTATGTCCGTCCGTCCCTCCGTCCGTCCGTCCGTCTGTCTGTCTGTGTAAAACACGCTCACGTTAAAACGAAGCAATATAATTTAACCAAATACACCCAAAATATTCACTATTATCCGGTACAGTTTGGTATTGAAAATGAGCAAAATCTGTTCACATCGGGAAAAGTTATGAATCAAAATTTAAAACAACTCCGAAAAAAATCAGCATTTTTTACACATTCTGATGTAATTTTCTCGAAAACTATGCAAGATAATTTCATGAAAGTCATCATACATTCGTTTCTACACAAGATCTTGATTCCTGCTGAAAATTTCCAGAATCGGTCCATAATTTCATATACCTCCCATACAAAAGTACATATTCCCGGAAAATGAGTTTTTTGTTAATAACTTGCGCCAGAATGTTGATATCTTCACAAAATTTTACAAATTAAAATCTTATGTCAATAGAATTCATCTAAAGAAAAAATTTTCTGGATCGGTAAATAATTGGACATAGCTCCCATACAAGGTCCCCTCCCGAAAATAACTTAAACGCGCATAACTCATTACTAAATTAAGATATCCATATAAAATTTGGAACAAGTATTGCTCATATGCACAGAAATATTACTGTGAATGTTTTTTCCAATCGGTCCATAATTGGTCATAGCTCCCATACAAGGTCCCCTCCCGAAAATCACTTAAACGCACATATCTCATTACTAAATTAAGATATCCATATAAAATTTGGTACAAGTATTGCTCTCATATACACAAATATTTCTGTGCAATTTTTTTGCGATCGGTCCATAATTGGTCATAGCTCCCATACAAGGACCCTTCCCGAAAATCACTTAAATGCGCATAACTCATTACTAAATTAAGATATCCATATAAAATTTGGAATAGGTATTGCCAATATGCACAGAAATATTACTATGAAATTTTTTTCCGATCGGTTCATAATTGGTCATAGCTCCCATACAAGGTCCCTTCCCGAAAATTACTTAAACGCACATAACTCATTACTAAATCAAGATATCCATATAAAATTTGGTACAATTATTGTTCTCGCATACAGAAATATTATTATGAAATTTTTTCCGATCGGTCCATAATTGGTCATAGTCATTGGTCAAGGACCCTTGCCCGAAAATCACTTAAACGCACATATCTCATTACTAAATTAAGATATCCATATAAAATTTGGTACAAGTATTGCTCTCATATACACAAATATTTCTGTGCAATTTTTTTGCGATCGGTCCATAATTGGTCATAGCTCCCATACAAGGACCCTTCCCGAAAATCACTTAAACGCGCATAACTCATTACTAAATTAAGATATCCATATAAAATTTGGAATAGGTATTGCCAATATGCACAGAAATATTACTGTGAATGTTTTTTCCAATCGGTCCATAATTGGTCATAGCTCCCATACAAGGTCCCCTCCCGAAAATCACTTAAACGCACATATCTCATTACTAAATTAAGATATCCATATAAAATTTGGTACAAGTATTGCTCTCATATACACAAATATTTCTGTGCAATTTTTTTGCGATCGGTCCATAATTGGTCATAGCTCCCATACAAGGACCCTTGCCGAAAATCACTTAAACGCGCATAATTTATTACTAAATTAAGATATCCATATAAAGTTTGGTACAAGTTTTGCTCATATGCACAGAAATATTACTATGAAATTTTTTCCGATCGGTCCATAATTGGTCATAGCTCCCATACAAGGTCCCCTCCCGAAAATCACTTAAACACACATAACTCATTACTAAATTAAAATATCCATATAAAGTTTGGTACAAGTATAGCTCTCACATATAAAAATATTACTATGATTTTTTTTCCCGATCGGTCCATAATTGGTCATAGCTCCCGTACAAGGTCCCCTCCCGAAAATCACTTAAACGCACATAACTCATTACTTAATTAAGATATCCATATAAAATTTGGTACAAGTATTGCTCACATATACAGAAATATTATTATGGAAGTTTTTTCCGATCGATCCATAATTGGTCATAGCTCCCATACAAGGTCACCTCCCAAAAATCACTTAAACGCACATAACTCATTACAAAATATTGATATCCATACATTTAGCACAAATATTGCTCTTATATACATAAATTACACTATAAAATTGTTTTGCAATCGGTCCATATTTGGTCATAGCTCTCATACTAGGTCCCCCCCAGAATATCACTTAAATGCTCAATATTCATTGCCAAATAATGATATAGATACAGAATTTTGAAATTTTGTCTTTATATACATAATTGGTCATAGCTCCCATACAAGGTCCTTTTACGAAAATCTCTTAAACGCACAATACTCATTACCAAATAAAGCTATTGATTCAAAATTTGGCACAAATATTAGTTTGGTATACAAAAATTGTATTTCAAGATTTTTTCACGATCGGTCCATAACATGGGTGCGGTCGGTCCCATGCAAGTGTCCCTTCAAAAAATCACTTGAACACACATTACTTATTACTAAATTACGATATAGATACAAAATTTGACTGAAATATAGCTTTTATGTACAGAAATTTAGCTTCCCATACTAGGTCCTGCCCCTAAAAACAATTTGTGTAGAACAAAATTATATATATGTATTTTGAAAATCCTTAAATCTTTCTCACACATGCACATTATTAAATATCGTTAAAGCATATCTAAGGGCGCTATACAAATATAAAAGAAAATGGTGTTTGTAATGTTCAACAAATCTTGGAATTGTAACAAATTTAAGCTGTTTAAATCTTGGGGTTTTTCTATTTAAGACATGAGAAAACTTATTTCTACAAATATTTGTCCAATTAAAAAAGTATTAATATAAAAGTAGCTGGTGGAGGGTATTTAAGATTCGGCTCAGCCGAATATAGCACTCTAACTTGTTAATGTTACGTTCTGTATTTTATCAGGTTTATATATTGTTTACATCGACTTCCATTTCAGTGGTAAAGGGTACATTAAAACAAGTAAACAGATATTTTACATCTGGCTTTTTAGTGTGCGATAAATTTACAGTTGAATATAACTGATATTCAATCACAACATATGGGATAATAGTTACCTTTTCTGACAATACTAATTTAGTAGGACAAAGTAGTTTGCTTTTTATATAAATTGAATATTAAAACTTTTTAAATTTTTTGTACAACTGCTATTGGAGATGTATAACAAAATCAGCAGTTTTTAAACTTTCTCGCAAAAAGTTTATTAATTTATGTTGTTATATTAATTAGAAATCTCTGCATCAAGCAATAATTCAACTTTCATAGGTACGATAAATAATGAGCTAATGATAAATAGCTTTTTACGGATCTTTCTTAATTATATTAAAATTAATTATTCTTTTATGATATAGGTTTTTCGATAGAAATCTGTGATTATAACTAATATATTCGTTTTTATATGAAATGCACATAATCGTGTCAACCCAGAAACCACTACGCTAATAGACAACCCTGACAAAATCGATATGTACAACTCTGTTAATTTTGCGTCTCTGAATTTTTGAATATAACCGCTAGAGTGTGAAGCGAGGCACGCAACGTCTTGTCGTCGACGTCAACACGAGTTGAACTAAGAGTATTTTTAATGTATTAGAGAACTATTTTTAAGTTTTGGAAAATAAAGTTTTGTTTTAATTGAATAAACGTGCATTGGAAAATTATTTTAAATCAGTCAATCAATCAGTTGACAATTATTCAGAAGTGGGATCTGAATTCCAAAAGGAAGTGATCTGAATTCCAAGAATACACGATGGAAAACTTACGCACATTTACTGTGAAGCAACTTCAAGCAAAGTGCCGTGAAATTGGAGTTTCGTGTTCCGGCAACAAAAATCAATTGATTGATCGACTCGAGGATCACAACGTTCAAAAGTCACGATCCATTCCGACGGATTTGAACCAACGTGTCCTACAACTGGAGGATCTTTTGGCGAATATGCGAACACAAACTGATCGTTACCGAACATCCGATTTTGATCCAACAGAAGCTTCCTCGCCCCAGCAAACATTTATGACGCCTGAGGAATCATCACCTCAACCGACAACTAATTTGTTTCATGGTGTACAAACGACATCTTCGTCTGATTGTCCTCAAGTTCACATGATTCCGTATACCTCGTCGCAGACAACGTCAACTGCTAATTTGTTTCATGGTGTACAAACGACATCTTCGTCTGATTGTCCTCAAGTTCACATGATTCCGTATACCTCGTCGCAGACAACGTCAACTGCTAATTTGTTTCATGGTGTACAAACGACATCTTCGTCT